ACCCAGCACTTTGGGAGCCAAGGCAGGCGGATGGGCTTGAGGTCAAGGGAGTTCGGAGACGCAGCCTGGTCAAGAAATGGTGAACCCCGCCCTTAGCTAAAAACCACCACCAATAAGTTTAACAGTCGTGCGTAGTGGACCACCTGGTAACCCAGCTACCTCGGCGAGGGCTGGAGGCAGCAGAATTGCTTGAACTGGCCCGGAAGCGGCCGGAAGTTGCAGTGGGCAACATGCACCGACTGCACTTCCCAGCCTGGCAACCAGGGTTGAGACTCAGTATCCAAAAAAAATAATAAGGTTTGGCCGGCGGCGCGGTGCTCAAGCCTCGAATCCAGCACTTTGGAGAGCCGAGGACGGGCGGATCACGCCGCAGGGCAGGAGAATCGAGACCACTCCTGTAACACGGTGAAAGCCCGTCTTCTACTAAATAAAAAAAAACTGACATAAAAATGACGGCGACGCCGGCCTACTGGCTGGCGGGCGCCTGTAGGTCCCAGCTACTCGGGAGGCTGAGGCCGGGAGATGGCGTGAACCCACGGAGCGGAGCTTGGGCAAGTGAGCTGAGATCGGGCATTGCACTCCAACTGGGCGGACGAGGAGCGGAGACCTTCGCTCAAAAAAAAAAAAAAAAACCACAAAAACAAAATCTGACATTAGAAAGATTTTAACAACAGCCTCCTCCGGGGCAAGTCCCATCATTATTAATATTGTTTGGCTGTTACTTTTTCATCTAATCTGCTGCAGGTCCAGGAATACATTTCGAAGAAGACTAATAAAAAGGGGAAAGCAGCCGGGCATGGTGGCTCATGCCTGTAATCCCAGCACTTTGGGAGGCCGAGGCGGGTGGATCACTTGAGGTCAGGTGCTCGAGACCAGCCTGGCCAACATGGCAAAATCCTGTCTCTATTAAAAGTACAAAAGTTAGCCGGGTGTGGTGGTGCGTGCCTATAATCCCTGCTGCTCAGGAGGCTGAGGCACAAGAATCACTTGAACCTGGGAGGCGGAAGTTGCAGTGAGCCAAGATTGCACCACTGCACTCCAGTCTGGGCAACAGAGGGAGACTCAATCTCAAAAACAAATAAATAAATAAATAAAAATAACAAGGGGAGGGAATAATATGGAGGTTCTCATAAAAGATCCTTTATCGAATTAGCACCCTATTTTGGGGTAGTAGCAGGGAAAAGGTAGCAAAGATGAGAAAGACAGACACCCTTTGTATTTTGCATTAGTTCCAGCCTCTATTTTACCAGATTTTTTTTTTGAAACACAGTCTCGCTCCTTCGCCTAGGGTAAAATGCACAGGCGCAATTTTGGCTCACTGCAACCTCCGCCTCGGGTTCAAGCGAGTCTCCTGCCTCAGCCTCCCAAGTAGCTGGAATTACAGGCATGTGCAACCATGCCCAGCTAATTTTTGTTGTTGTTGTTTTTGTTTTTTTGAGACGGATTTTCGCTCTAGTCACCCAGGCTGGAGTGCAATGGCGCAATCTTGGCTCATTGCAACCCCCACCTCCTGGGTTCAATCAATTCTCCTACCTCAGCCTCCTGAGTAGCTGGAATTACAGGCACGTGCCACCACGCTCAGCTAATTTTTGTATTTTTAGTAGATACAGGGTTTCACCATGTTGGCCAGGCTGGTCTAGAACTCCTGGCCTCAAGTGATCCGCCTGCCTCGGCCTCCTAAATGCTGGGATTATAGGTGTGAGCCACCATGCCCAGCCTATTTTACCACAATTTTTTTTTTTTTTTTTGAGATGGAGTTTCACTTTTGTTGCCCAGGGTGGAGTACAGTGGCCAATCTTGGCTCACTGCAACCTCCATTTCGCGGGTTCAAGTGATTCTCCTGCCTCAGCCTCCCAAGTAGCTGGGATTACAGGCAACCGCGAACATGCCCGGCTAATTTTTTGTATTTTTAGTAGAGACAGGATTTCGCCATGTTGGGCAGGCTGGTCTCAAACTCCTGACCTCAGGTGATCCACCCACCTTGGCCTCCCAAAGTGGTGGGCCACTGGGCCCGGCTTCTATTTTTATAAAGGGTTTCCATTTCTGGGGAAAAGAATGCAACTAAGAGGGCCAGCTCCATAATCAGGTCTTAGATCTCTTTTCAAAAGCCTTACCAGCCAGGCGCGGTGCCTCACGCCTGTAATCCCAGCACTTTGGGAGGCCGAGGCAGGCAGATCACCTGAGGTCAGGAGTTTGAGACCACCCTGGCCAACATGGTGAAACCCTCTCTCCACTAAAAATACAAAAATTAGCCAGGCGCCATGGTGTGCACCTGTAATCCCAGTTACTTGGGAGGCTGAGGCATGAGAATCGCTTGAACCTGGGAGACAGAGGTTACAGTGAGCCAAGATTGTGCCACTGCACTGCAGCCTGGGCAACAGAGTAAGACTCCATCAAAAAAAAAAAAAAGACAAAACCCTTACCAAACAATCTCCTCTTACCCCGAGGCACTCACCTCCAATAGTGCTCTCCTGGTACTCATGGAACTGCCCTTTGACAAAACGTAACACCAGGCTTGACTTTCCCACTGCAGATTCTCCCAGCAGCACCAATTTGAACTGGCAAATTTTGCTGGCCTGGGGTTGCCCATTGGGCCTAGCTGTGCTTCTGCTAGTCATGGCCAGATTATCAGAGTGGGAAAGGGTGGAGGGAGGGGAATGCTGTAAAGGGGGGGGGAAGGGGAGGGGATTTCCAGGCTTCAACACTCCTGCAAGAAAAAAAAAGTGAATTAGACATACATCCATTGAAGCTGCAATCGCTTTTCAGAGGAGGATAGAATCTCTTCATCTCCTTGCTCCTATGAGGACTTAGCTCTTGCAGTCATCTGCTATTGACAGGTTATACCTCTGAGAAGGTCCCAGGCAGCTGACCCTCAGTGGTAAGAGTTGGGAACAGCAAAATAAGAACTGCTTCTGGAGTCTGCCCTACCACATAATCTCTAACTGCCAAGGGAACTGAAATAGAGAGACTGAAAACTGAGAGTTTTTAATTCCCCAGTAATTCCCCACCATATCTTCAAGGTTTTTTGTTTGAGTCACACAAAGTGATCAGCCTTTAGTTGGCCTGAAGAATATCCAGATCCACCCACAGGTACCCTAGATCCCCAGTATCTCCTTGGCATCCTGGTGCTGTGCTCTTCTTTTCCTTTTTTTTTTTTTTTGAGACGTCACTCTTGTTGCCCAGGCTGGTGCATAGTGGCGTGATCTTGGCTTACCGCAACCTCTGCCTCACAGGTTCAAGCAATTCTCCCACCTCAGCCTCCCGAGTAGCTGGGATTACAGGCACGCACCACCACGCCTGGCTAATTTTGTATTTTTAGTAAAGATGGGGTTTCTCCATGTTGGTCAGGCTAGTCTTGAACTCCCGACCTCGGGTGATCCATCCGCCTTGGCCTCCCAAAGTGCTGGGATTACAGGCGTGAGCCACCATGCCTGGCCTTCTTTTCCTTTTTCTTTAGCTCTCTGTCAAAATGAGAGATTCACTCTAGGGGTATGGGATAAGAGTCACCCCTCCTAAGGGCAGAAGGGTAGATGCTGATATATCTTTTATATATGACTGGTCTCCCTGATAAGACATTTCTAAAGATCTAACCAGGGTCCCATTGCCAGAAAATCTATCCTTTCTCATTTTTGGTTGAAGGAGAGAAATACAACCAACAGATCACATTCATTATCAACTCTTTGTTTCATTAACAACTTTTTTCACTTTGTTTCTCCCATCTTTCCAAATCTGAAAGCCTATCAAGAGTCAGTAAGCTTGACCTACTCTCAACCTGCAGCTGTCTTGCTGGTGCCTAGGGATTAGATTACCCTCCACACCAAAGGGGCCAAATAGCTGTAGCCCTCCAAATTAGAGGCAGAGAAAGGTATACCTTCTAAAGACATGCAGGAGTCTCCAGAGGATGGTATAAGGGATAAGTCTGCAAGCGATCAATATTTGATGAAAGAATACACTGAATCAGCTCCTCTATCTTCTAAGAGGGCTAAGAAAGCTGCTGGTGGGGCAGGGAACAGAGAGAAGAGTTGGGACTTTGAGATTCTAATTGTCTAAATCTGAATACATTTCATCATCCTGACTCTGAGCAGAAAGGAGCTATGAAATTCAAAGGGGAGTTAGCATGGGCAGAGCATGCAAAAACCTCTCTCCCAAACCTAAGCACTGCTTGAGAGTTGTACTTTGCTTGTTCAAATTGATCTTTCGCTTTTCCAAAGCAGATCCTAGTGACTTCACAGACATTATACTCTGTGGCATATGTGGGGAAACATTATTTTGTCACCACGATTAGTGGGTCTGGAGTTAAACTGGGGTTTAAAAAATTCAGTAATCCCACTTACTAGATAGTAAAGACAGAAAATCATACAGGAGGCAATGCAGAGGAATACAGGCTCTGGAGTCCAATTCTCCGGATTGTTTTCCAGTTCTACTTATTGGCTATGAACCTTGGGCAAGTCACTAAATATATGTGTGCATTCATTTCCTCATCTGTAAAATGAGGTAACAGCCTTATAAGCACCTACTTCAAAAGGGTGTTGTAAGGATTAAATGAGATAATGCATATAAATAACTTAAGTATTTTAAGTATTTGATATATACTAAGTGCTAAATATTAAGCTACTAATCATTACTAATATGACATAAAGAGAATTTCTCTACCTCTCTAAGCCTTACCTTCTACCTTTGTAAAATGGAAAAAATACCATCCTCATAGCTACAAAGTGAAAGATGTGTTTAGCATAGTGCTAATAGCTATTAAAATATATCTCAATATTAGTTGTTATCAATATATTCCTAAAAAGCAGCCACAGGCTGGGTACAGTGGCTCATGCCTATAATCCCAGCACTGTGGGAGGCTGAGGTGGGTGGATAACTTAAGGTCAGAAGTTTGAGACCTGCCTGGCCAACATGGTGAAACCCCGTCTACACTAAAGAAACAAAAAAAATTAGCTGGGTGTGGTACTGCATACCTGTAATCCCAGCTACTCCAGAGGCTGAGGCAGGAGAATTGCTTAAACCCAGAAGGTAGAGGGTGCACTGAGCTGAGGCTGCGTCACTGCACTCCAGCCTCGGTGATAGAGCCAGACTCCGTCTCGAAAAAAAAAAAAAGGCGGGCACAGTGGCTCACACCTGTAATCCCAGCACTTTGGGAGTCCAAGGCGGGCGGATCAGGAGGTCAGGAGTTTGAGACCAGCCTGATAAATATGGTGAAACCCTGTCTCTACTGAAAATACAAAAATTAGCTGGATGTGGTGGCATATGCCTGTAGTCCCAGCTACTTGGGAGGCTGAGGCAGGTGAATTGCTTGAACCTGTGAGGTGGAGGTTGCAGTGAGCAGAGGCTGTGGTGACAGAATCACTGGAGCCGAGGAGTTGAAGGTTGTAGTGAGCTGATTGCACCACTGCACTCCAGCATGGGCGACAGAAGAAGACCCTGTCTCTGAAAAACAAAAAGGAGACAGAACTAAAGGGTAAAGAGGAAGTTAGCAAAGGAATGAGAGGTGAGAATTCAAGGTCCCAAAGTAGACTACATTAATACAGAGGAACATGACAATTACTTTGATTCTACTGGGTATTCTGTAGTCCCCTTGGTCAGTCAGTCCTAAAAATCCAGATATACATGTACCATTTTATGATTAAGTTTTCAATGGCCTATGACGAAAGGATCAAAATAAAGATGATACAGCAAATTTTTCATAAAGCTAAATTTATTCAATTTAAATTAGTATCTTTAATTATAACATTTTTAAATTTATTTTCAATTTTTAGAGATAGTCTCACTCTGGTGCCCAGGCTGCAGTGCAGTGGAGTGATCATAGCTCATTGTCGGCTCCAACTCCTGGGCTCCAGCGATCCTCCACCACACCTGGCTAATTTTTTCTATTTTGTGTAAAGATGGGGTCTCCCAAGGTAATCAGTTTATTTTTTTTTTTATTTTTTTTTTTTGAGGCGGAGTCTCGCTCTGCCGCCCAGGTTGGAGTGCCGTGGCCGGATCTCAGCTCACTGCAAGCTCCGCCTCCTGGGTTCACGCCATTCTCCGGCCTCAGCCTCCCGGAGGCTGGGACTACAGGCGCCCGCCACCTCGCCCGGCTAGTTTTTTGTATTTTTAGTAGAGACGGGGTTTCACCGTGTTAGCCGGGATGGTCTCGATCTCCTGACCTCGTGATCCGCCCGTCTCGGCCTCCCAAAGTGCTGGGATTACAGGCTTGAGCCACCGCGCCCGGCCAATCAGTTTATTTTTAAATTATTTATTCATTTTTTAAAACTATGAGTTATCATTTTTAAAAAAGAGTTTTATAAACACTGCTTTGGAGAGGCCTGACACTGAAAGATGGGTTAATAGGGACGGAAATGTTTAGTTTCTGGACAGTCTATAGTTATGGTTACTACTCAAGCACTTCTGGATGAAATTCAGATGAGGACCAAATGATGGGCTTTCCAGGGATCAGAGAATTCTCCAACCCTGCCACTAAAGTTACAGAGCTATCATGAAAGTGGGGAGAGACAACCTAGACAGAAGCAGTCCTGCAGAGTTGGTAAAGTTTCTGGAATCAGGCAAGATCGAGTTCTGTTCTCTGCTTTGCCACAACCCACTGTGATCTTAGGCTACTCACTCCATTTGTTTTTCTGATCCTCAGCTTACCCCTTCTTCTTTTTTTTTTTTGAGACAGTTTCGCTCTTGTTGTCCAGGCTGGAGTGCAATGGCATGATCTCGGCTCACCGCAACCTCCGCCTCCCGGGTTCAAGTGATTCTCCTGCCTCAGCTTCCCGAGCAGCTGGGATTACAGGCATGTACCACCACGCCCGGCTAATTTTGTATTTTTAGTAGAGATGGGGTTTCTCCATGTTGGTCAGGCTGGTCTCGAACTCCCAACCTCAAGTGATCCACCCGCCTCAGCCTCCCAAAGTGCTGGGAGCTTCCCCATATAAGGATCTTTGTGGGCGAATGGAATTGGTGAAAGTGGCAAAGAGCAGAATTTGAATTCACTTCCAAAGTTCTGTGTACATTTAAGAAACTTGCTGCTTAAGGCATCTGTGAGGATGAATTACTTCTAAAGCACCTCATATTTACGTGGTATTCATACACACTGTCTCATAGGAAAAGAGGACAGACCAGCAGAATGGTAAACTTTAAAAAGGTAAACACAGCCCGGCTTGGTGGCTCACACCTGTAATACCAGCATTTTGGAAGGCTGAGGTGGGAGGATTGCTTGAGGCCAGGAGTTCAAGACAAGTGTCGGCAACATAGTGAGACCTTGTCTCTAAAAAAAAAAAAAAAAATTAGCCAGGCATGGTGGCACATGCCTGTCATCCTGGCTACTCAGGAGGCTGAGGTGGGAGGATCACTTGAGCCCAGGAGGTTGAGGCTGCAGTGAGCTGTGATTATGCCACTGCATTCCAACATGGGCCACAAAGTGAGGCCTTGTCTCAAAAAATAAATGAATAGGCCGGGCGCAGTGGCTTATGCCTGTAATCCCAGCACTTTGAGAGGCCAAGGCGGGTGGATCACCTGAGGTCACGAGTTCGAAAGCAGCCTGGCCAACATATAGTGAAACCCCGTCTCTACTAAAAAATACAAAAATTAGCTGGCCAAAGCAGCACATGCTTGTAGTCCCAGCCACTTGGGAAGCTGAGGCAGGAGAATCGCTTGAACCCAGAAGGCGGAGGTTGCAGTGAGCCAAGATTATGCCACTGCACTCCAGCCTGAGCAACA